ATAGCACTATAATCTACATGTACATGCAGCCTGGGAATGTGGCAAGCCAGGACCAGGGCAAGTTCCTAACCCTCTTCTACTGTCTGGTGACCCCCACTCTGAATCCTTTCATCTACACACTGAGAAACAAAGATGTGAAGGGAGCCATGTGGAAGGTTCTTGGGAAAGACCACAGCCTGTTGGATGCAATAGGGCACTGATGCGTCAGGTATCACTCATCCTGAGATACTTATTGTCCATGAAAGCTCTTTGTTCCAGGGTAATAAGTATGCACAATGTCATATCAGATGCTAGAATGTGAACAGAGCAAGGTCTTCTCTCTTTCAGGGATCCCAAACTAAATAACTTGTATCTTTGCTTGCTGGTAGATGGAGAGAACCCCTGTGTCCTTCCAAGTGACAGACTCAAAAGATAATGTGCTGGTGGAAAAAAATGCTACTTCCTCTTTGCTTAGTGGGGTTTATAGGGTGATAATTATTTCTTTGCAGCTAACTTTAGACTATGATTCCAGAAAACTATAATGTGACTATTAAGTCAGATCTATTTATTTATTTATTTTAAATTTTGAATGTTTATTAACTTTTGAGAGAGAGAGAGCAGGGGAGGGGCATAGAGAGAGGGAGACACAGAATTTGAAGCAAGCTCCAGGCTCTGAGCTGTCAGCACAGAGCCTGATTTGAACCACAAGATCTTGACCTGAGCCGAAGTCAGACATTTAACCTACTGATCCCCCCAAGTGCTCTACTATTGATTCAGATCTAAGGAGAAGGAGCCTTCAGGCAGAAAAATGTGTGCATGTATGTGTGAGAGAGTGACTGGTATTTTGAGGTTCATTTGTTCCATTCCATATACTCTTTTGTTCCAAAAATTCTAGATCCCTGTGGAAAGTATACCATTACTAATTCAGGCTGTTGTCTACCTCCTCCTTCCCCGTGCAAATAATTTATAACTGCTTCTCTAGGAACAGTATTTCTTTAAAATTCCAGGTTATATGCCACTTATTGGTCATTAAATCAATTTGACAAGCATTTAAGGCAACAGGCATTTAACAGTGAGTTAAGTTAGCATGAAATGGAATAGGAAATTTCAGAGAGGATTGTACAAGGTAGGGTAAGTCAGTTGTGTGAATGTCTATGTGTGTATGTGTATCAAATATTTTACCTACATGAATCATTGACACAAAAGTTTGAAAGTCACTGACTTGAAAAGTCTTTATTGAAACAAGTTTCAAAGAAGGCAGTACACCTGCAGTGGGAAAAAATTAGGGATACAATTATTTTATTTTCTTTTTTAAAGATTTTATTTACATTCCAGTTAGTGAACATACAGTGCAATATTAATTTAAGACGTACAATGTAGTGATTCAATACTTTCATACAACACCCAGTGCTCATCTCAACAAGTCCAGTCCTTAATCCCCATTACATATTTAGCCCATCCCCCCACCCACCTCTCCTCTGGTGACCATCACGTTGTTCTCTATTGTCAAGAGTCTGTTTCTTGGATTGCCTCTCTCTCTTTTCTTTTAGGGATACAATTCTTAACAATTCAAGAGCAGAGGGTCATAGAAGGAAATAGTGTCATGTTAACATGTGGATGGGAACAGTGTGGAAAGTAACCAGGCCACAGCTGCTTAGTATGAGAACATTTGCCAGGATAAATGATGCTAATGATGATGATGATTATAATGATGGTGATGATATTAAATTATGATGAATATGGAAGTATAGTTCATTCATTAACCCATGTATTTTCACCTTCTGACTGTTCTGAAGTAGAAACGATTCAAGATTTAATGGCAAGCCACGGTTTACTTTGCAATATTTTTTTTCTTAGACTTTGTTGTAAAAGGTGAAAATGAGAATCTTTAAGTTGTAAAAATTAATGAAATTAATAAACTTTCAACCATTTCTGGGAACTAATTAGTCTCTGTAATTCTGAATTTTATGTGTCTACTTGACTAGGCCATAATATCTGGGTATTTCAAACCCCAGTCAGGATTTTCTGCGAAGGTATTTTTAGATGAGATTAAAACTTAAATCAGTAGACTTTGAATAATCAATTGCTCTCCATTATGTGGAGAACTCTGGAATTAGTGGAAGGTCTTATGATAAAACAATCTGAGTTCCCCCTAGAAAGACTGAATTCTGCCTTCAGACCATGGTTGGACTTTGGCTGCAACATCAACTCTTTCTTGGGTCTTCAGCTTGTCCTGCAGATTTTCAACTTGTGACTCCCTCTGCCTGTCTACCTCTCTATCTACCTGTCTACCAATGTGTGTCTGTATCATTATCTATTTATCTATCATCTATCTATCTATCTATCTATCTATCTATCATCTTTCTATCTCTCATCTATCTATTATCTGTATCTGTGCATTCTATTGATTCTGTTTCTCTGGAGAACTCTGATATTTTAAAAATACTTTAAAAAATAAGTATGTCTAGATTTAATTTTGCATAAGTTTTACTTATTTTTTTAAATCCCATCTTCTTTATGTTCATGCTCAGTTTTAATACTTCTTTTCTTATGTTCAACAACCATTTCCTTGAACAAGAGAAGCTTTGCTTTTATTTATTAATTTTTAAATGTTTATTTATTTTTGAGAGAGTGAGAGGGAGAGTGTGAACAGGAGAGGGGCAGAAAAAAGGGGGACAGAGGATCCAAAGCAGACACTGCACTAACTGCAGTGAGCAAGACATGGGGCCCAAACTCATGAACTATGAGATCACAACCTGAGCCAAATTTGCACCCTCAACCGACTGAACCACAAGATGCCCCGTTATTTTTTATTTTCAGCCAACACTTCTTTACTGGATTAATAGAAATTAGAAAAACATGTGAATATTGCAAAGAATTAGGAGGGCAAGTTAGTTTATATGTGTGCTACTTTATTTTCCGATTTCTCTAAATAGAAGAAAGTTTGTTGTAATTTTTTTTCTTTTGTGTCTTTAGGAAATCTCTGAATCCTTTTTAATGTTTTTGCCTTTGGTGGTTTTGATACATTTATACTTGAATGTACTAGGCATTGCAAGTTGTAAGTATAGGTCACGTGTACTCTCTGGGTAGCTTCTGGTGCAATGTCACATGCATTTAGTGTGGGCCTGTATAAACAACAGTGTTAAAACAATGTTTTAGCCTATGTTGAAATAAGTCATTTAGAATTACCAATTTACTTTTTTCTTTTCTTTTCTTTTCTTTTTTTATTTTTGCCAGGAAATAATCCTATAGCTTCTTTCTATTTAGAGAATCCACCCAATTTTATATACATACCATATTAATTCTAACATGATTGGTAAAGGTCAATTAAGATAAGATTGTTAGCATGTTTCAACTGTTTATGAAAAACACAATTCATAACTACCAGTAAATGTAAACATGCTTTTCTTTTTCTTTTCTTTAGTTTAAAAAATTTTTAACATTTATTTATTGCTGAGAGACACAGAGAGACAGAGCATGAGCACGGGAGGGGCAGAGAAGGAAGGAGACACAGAATCTGAAGCAGGCTCCAGACTCTGAGCTGTCAGCACAGAGCCTGATGTAGGACTGAAACTTATGAACTGCAAGATCATGACCTGAGCCTATGTCAGATGCTTAAGTGACTGAGCCACACAGGTGCCCCCATAAACATTTTTTTCTAATAAATACTTTAACATACACAATTTCACACTGCTAACATATAGAAGAGATAAATATTAAAAAGTCTTACCAAAAAGTACCTGGAAGGTTTTTAGTAAATATATGTAGACACAGATTTTTCTTCATTTTGACAAAACGCAGATTTGAATAATTGAATTGTTGGATAGTTTTATGTACTTAGTCTCTAAGTATACCCTTTTCTAAACAAAAGGAAATCTTTTTGCATCACAAATGCTGTTGTGTCAAGGTTTTTTCAAGGTTTAACATTGGATATGATTCCAGTTTGTATACATGGTTCCCAGTAGGATTTTTGTTGAGGAATATCATATTGTTAGTCCATGCAACTTCATCTCTGTATCTTGTTCCTTTTTATTTTTAAAATTTATTTATTTAATATACACATTCATGTATAATTAGCATTAGTGTTATATTAGTTTCATACGTACAATATAGTGATACAACATGTCCATACAATACCCAGTGCTCATCATAAGTATGCTTTTAATCCCCTTTATCTATTTCCTCATCCCTCCTCCCACCTTTCCTCTGGCAACCACCACTTTGTTCTCTGATTTTTATTTATTTGTTTGTCTCTTTTAACCTTGTTCATTACTTTTATTATTCCAC